GTTAGGTAATGTTTGCCATTGTGAAGGGAAAGGACTGCACAGATTAGTATTAAGATTTTTAATTCTAAAATCTTTTTTACTTTGCATATGTCAAAAACATGAAAACCGCACATGGACACTGTTATATATATTGGTATGCTGTGATTGCTGTAACCACAGTCAAATTCTTTAAATTTTATTACAGAAAAAGGTCACCTGGGCTCTAAAATCTACTGGTAAACAAGAAGAACTTTTAACAGCATTACACAACTTGACCTTTCTGTAATTAGCTTTGATTACCAAACTGTTCTCTGTACAACTGACTTCTCACAAGAAATGCTTGTTCTTGGTATGCATAGCATTGAATGTAGCCAACTCTCTATAAGGAGAAGGTGCTCTGATACCAAGGGCAAAATACTTTTTCGGAATCAGCATTTATTTGGATCTATTTACTCTACAATCTATGTAACCCTGTGCAGTCATGGTGTAGTGACAAACCAGATTAATAATATCTAGCTTTTAGGTTTAGTTTTACACATAAATAATTTGGGGATCCTCCATCAAATTTGTTGTGAAAAGTAGGCACTCAGTGGAACCTTTGATGCTCATTAGTCGAAGCTTCACCAATTGCCTCCTCAAGTTTGGTTTCAGCCAGTCACGGTAAAGAATGAAACAACTGTTGACGGGATGAAGAACCACAACACCCTTTATTGCTCTTTCTGTTCCTTGTTTAAAGATAAAATAGTGGATTCTGAGTAATTTGATATGATGGCATTAGCTGAGCTTTCAGCTGACCTGTTTTAGATCAATCCAGCACCATTTAAAGGAAGAGATGGCATATTCTATGAACTAGCTGACACAGGTACATGTTCATTGTAATCTCAATCACAGAGCTGGCAGTTTAGGTGCCATTCTGGAAGAGCAGAATGCCAAGACCAACTCACTTCATATTTCCTTTGTATTTTATGGTAGTTCTTGACATTTTATGTGCACTGATTCCTTCACTCTGTTATTTGGAATTGCAGACATTTATTGTTACACATTTGAGATGAAAACTACATTGCAAACACCGGAATTCATTCAGGCTGCAGCATCCTTTCTTTATTAAAATTGTTTATGCACAACACTGATTGGTACCAGCATGTCTGCAGTGGTTTAGTATGCTATACATGTAAAAAGCAAAAACAAATGGGTATAAATATTACCATTTTTAAAAACGGGTCTGAGGTTCCTTTAATATTAGCATATAAATGCTAGACTTTGTCCTCCTGTACACTTAAAGTCTGTAGTTCAGAGCTTGGTTTCATTTACCTGTAGATCTAAATCCTGCACCAAAGCCTTACTTGTTCCAGGATTTTCCCCGATAGTCCCAGAGCAGCCAGTGTTTAGCAGGTGCTGAATGGCAGCACTGAGGTTTTTGTTGACTTGGAGGAAATTATGGAGGTGTTGTGTGATGATGCACAATATTTTTTTTTCTCTTCTATTGTAGGTAATTATTTGTATTTTAAACGAGCTGTTGATGCATTTTGCCTGAACAGCTAAGCTTGATAATCTTATACCAATTTTTTTCTTTTTACCAATAGTAAAACTGTTTTGTTAGAAACCCCATTATAGAAAATATCAGTAAACAAGCTCAAAACAAGAAGCAGTTTATAGGCCTATTAAATTATGGCACAACCAAACCCCCAAAAATCTCATGCTAAAATGATTCTTCAGGTTTCCAAATCTAAACCTATTTACAAAGTAGACAGTTTCTCTCTGAGCAACAGCAGGAGACCCCATTAATACTGAGGGATCCCCTGCTTTTATGCAGTATATGGGGGTCCTCATGAAAATAGAGCTGTTCTGATTCAGATACCAGTATTAGAAATATCTCTGATCATGCAGAAAACGCTGCCATCAGCAAGTACTGGATTCAAGGCACCGATTTCGAAACCATGTCATTTAATATAGGAATATAGGATTCTATTAACAGGTTAGTTCTGACACAGTTCTTCTTCACCACTCTTAAAACAATTGCCTGTTGCTGACACTTACTGCCTGTTGTTTAAGACAGGAGCAGATCTTACACCTGTCGGAGATGGAGCTTGCTACCACTTTTACTGCTACTGTTTTTATATTGTTTTGTTTAAAAAAAATAAATGCCTTAAATTTGCTGTATTCATTCACGTTCCCATTCACAGGTTTAACCTCAGCCAGGCCTTACCATGTCACAATCATATATATATATATATATATATATATATATATATATATATATATATATATATATATATATATATATATATATATAGTTTTTGTAACATACTGGTATCAGTACTCAGTTTCGGCCACTATTTACATCACAAGCATCAAAATCGTGTTGGGAGAGAAAAAATGGTATCGGAACATCTCTACCGTAAAGTAAATATGTGGGTACAGAGCAGGGATTCAGGTTAATGATTTTTATCAATGTTTTTTTTTTAATTACCTGTGCAAGCCACCCATGTAGAGTATAGGAGACTGCATCATATAAAAGATAAAAGGAGCTTTAATAAAGATGAACTTTAACCACCATTCAGTTATCAAACCTGCAACTATAAACTGTATCAGATAAAATCTGCACAATGTGCTAAAGTCCTATGAGGGTTATTTCTTGGCTGTAGCTCCCTCTGATATTGACATACTAGTCTGCTGACCTTCCTAACAATATGGTGAGACTTCGAACACCTGAGAATCGGTGTCAGAGCTACCGTGTCAAACCGGGAAAAACAAGAATGTGATTCTTTGAAAGAAATAATTTAAACTAATTTGAAAATACTAAAATACCAAGAAGAGTACACTGTAAAATATATGTTCATAGTAGTGTATTTTTGGTTTTGTAAAAAAAAAAAAATTATATATATATATATTAATGGAGTGGCGGCCAAGTGGTTAGGGCATAGAGCTCGGAACCCAAAGTTCCAGGTCCGAGCCCCACTCCCACAGACTGCCACTCTGGGTCCTTGAGCAAAGACCTTTAACCCTTAACTTTTCAAAATCATGTTATCCTTTAAAAATCTTCAGTATCAAGGGAATTCGAAACTATCCTGGCAGAAAAATCTGCACCATAAAGATAGTTTATAGTTTGATTAAAAACTATGAAAAATGACTAAAACCTTAACATTATTTATTTGCTTACAATTCTAAACAGATAAATAATGACCACAAACAAGTCACCCATCCTGCAAACAGGAAGCCTGGGTTTACTTCCTAACCTGGGGAAATGAGCTGCCGGCGTTGGTGTTTAGGCAAGACCCTTCATGCTAATGCCTTTCACCCGTTATCTTAGGATTCAAGGTTCAATTTTTAATATTTATTTTCAAAGATCCACTTTATTACTCTCAAGAAATTTTTCCATTGAGGGAAATGGAGTGAAAAAACCCCTTTTAGAGGTTTTTAGGCTAATCCAAGTGTCACTGCTGGATGATTTGGTCACAGTCTGAACCGGCAGGGTTTGATTTTGTCCTGAAAAGACCTCGGCATGAGTTGTAACTCATCTAAAATGTTAATTCAGTTCAGCTTACTGTTGAGTATCCTCAGGTTATAGTTGATTTTATAGCACAAGACAACTCGGTGCTTAAAGGAGACTTTAATCTGTAGTAGAAACATTCTTTTTTCAGAGGACTGTAAGCACTTTCTCAATCTGACACCAAAATGCACAATTTTTTCTGGAAATTAATTTTACAGTGTATACATATATTGATAAGCAATATAAATTTTGAACCTAAAGAGCCGAGATGAGCAAGATTGGATTTGGACCTTAGTGACTGAACCACAGTTTCACTTTCCTCTCCTTTGAGTATTAAAAGTGTATTTTAAAGGGAATTAGTTTGTAAATTCTATAAATTTATTAGCTGATGTTTACTGATTCATGTTGTTTATTGTCACTCTTTGTCTTTTTTTATTATGGAATTAAGGCTTTAACAAAATAAAGTAATAGTGTGCCACATATCACAGCAAAAAAAACTTTTCTTTTTGAAGAAACAAAAATGATGTCTGTGGAAGTTTTTTTTTCTTGTGTGACACAAAAATGACTACTAATATTTTATGCAGAAACAGAATTTATTTTACAGCTTACATTTCATTTTACAAATACATTTTGCTTGTTCATGTTGTATTTATGATTTTTAGAAAAGTCCTCTTGTTTCCAAAGTGCGTTGTGATGATTAATACATAATTACAGTGTTTTATAAAGTTCAGGCAATGCAACACTGTCCAAATTACACTTGTTGGTATTCAATTGTTCAGTATTTCTAGCTAATGTATACGTGTTAAATGTTAAGTGATTCCTGGAAAAACAAATCTCTGTGTTTGCTTTAGAATTTGTTCACGGTTCACAGCCATATTTTTAATAACGAGAAAAAATGTACTGCAGTGTGATTTTCATTATACAATCCTCACATCTGTCAATTATTCAACAGAAAGACGCTTAAAATGTCAGACAATAACTACGACAAAACAGCAGAGCATTTCTGTAGACCTTGTCTGTGTATCTTTGTTTTCAATTCCTCTAAATGATTTCAGAGTGACATGCTCACACTTATGGCAGCCTCTACAATTAGACCCTAAAGGATGCTTTTATCCATACAAACAAAATAAATAAAAATCTTAAAAGCAAACGCATTTAGCTAAAACAGTTATTAAAACCACTCTCTCCAGTGATTTTGCTAAGACATGCTCTCATTCCCCTTTTGCATTGCCAAACAAAGCTTATTGAATTTGTAAAAGCTGATTTCCCCTGTGCCATTTGTTCCTCCCCACATTGATTACAAGCAGTTCTGTTGGAGGGGAAACAGCTGCAGAGCAAACGGAAAGTTTATTATTTCTTGTGAGGACAAATTTAGGTTATAGCTTTTTTTTTTTTTTTAACAAAAATAAACAAAAACCAGAAATTCTAACCTCGCTGTATGAAAAAAATATAGTTTTAATGAGTTGTGAACAATATAAGATATGAAACAGCCGTGGAAGGAATGGGCGATGAGAAGGATTCAGTTCCTATGCTACAGCTGGAAGTCCTCGCTGTAAAGAGAATTTGCGTATTGGTTCTCAATAGTGGCGTCCTCCTCTTCCTCTTCCTCCTGTGTTATAAAAGAAAAATGTTTTTACAAGGAAAAGAAAAATATTTTTTTTTACACTGCCACTTATACAAGATTAAGCATTGTTTTAGATTAATCCTCTTGGTTTCATTTTAGCTCAAATAGAAAAAAAAAATCCAGTTTAATTACAGAAAATTATTAAATACCTTCTGACAAAATGTATTGTCCTTTGGAAATGCTCTTTTTTTTTTTTAAAGCAAAACCGTGTAAGGTTTTGAGTCTGATAGTGCCCATATTTTAAACTCACTGCAACATTTTAATATATTCTGTTAACTATATATGATTGGTGTGCCCGATTTATTTGATGTTTTTTCATTAATGAATATGTTGGGTAGTGATTTTTTTTAACCCAATAGTCCATAATATTCACACTTTACAAATCTTTGAATTTTACCTTTTTACTATTTATTAAATATTTATTTTATTGTTGATAAGGGTGCTAAGAAGAGTTCAAAACAGATAATCTACATGCACTCATCTCTTTGAATTTGAGCCTGTGTGCCTCAACAAGCCTCTATTTCTTTTGAATATATATATTTTAATAATCTCAAATATGGCATTAGATAAAAATCTTTAATTTCTTCGGAAATTCCTTAACAGCAAACATAAGAAGCAAAAGAAAAGCTCCTTTTAAAGATGAAAGCAAATTTGGGATTTCTTGCAAATTCACTTGTTCTAAACCTCTTAAACAAATAACATAACAATAATGATTGAAAAAAGGGAAAATTGAAGGCCATTTCTGAAACAATCTTGGCTTTCTTTATATTAATGCAGAAACACATGGCAATCGTCACATGGCGATATGTGAAAATGTATTAATGCAATGGTAGATGGAGTCCTAACCAAGTAATAGGCACAAATACTGTAAAGTAAACTGGCATAGGGTGACATTTCAGCATCGAATATCCTGTTTTTAAATTGGTTTTATATAATCTTCTAAATTTAAATAAATAAAGGAATGGTTTTCATTAACTTTAAGCCACAACCAGAGATTGACACTTAAAAATATATAAATCAAAATCTTTATTTAATTCATACAGCTTTCCACATGAAGAGAAAGGATTTAATTTACAAGTGTAAGATATTCTAAATTGGAAAAATATTTCTGTCTGTATTTTTTAGATATTATTAATTAACTTATAGAATAAAGTTTTTGATAACATTCTAATTTATAGTTATGCATTTGCATGTGTGTCTGGATGTTTTTACCTACCTCGTCTTTCTTTTTGTAGTCTTTCTCTGTGCCACGGTAGGATACTACATGGATCAGAGTGTACACCCTGCGTACAAAGAATCATAAAGATAAATTTACATTGGCATCTATGGTGAATAACAATACAGTACAGTCTTAAGGGAATGGCTGATGTAAATCTAGATTTCATGACTCTACATGATGGCATTCATCAAATATCAATCGTTAAGTTAAAGAAATAAAGCAAAAATAAGTACTAGTTGAAGAAGCAACATTTTTTAATCCGTCTATAAACCATGTAAACAAACTGGTTTGTGTACCTGTGATACAACATGGCCACAAACTGGACGAGAAGAAGAATGGCAAAGGAAAACAGGAACATTAAACTGAGAGGCTCCACCTGTCAAAGTAAAATGAAAGCATTGTTTATTCAGTTAGTTTAGCACTGCATAGATTTGTGTAGAGCTCTTTTTTTTCACATGTTCCTACCTTCAGGTATTCTGTAGTATTTTGACCCGGGATATGTTTAGGAATCTTGATGCTGATGATGTCGTTTCCAATCAGCTGCAGGAAGAAAGTTGCTACCACCCAAAGCACATTAATGATGAAGTACAGGAAGACAGCCTGTTGAAATGATGACAAGTTTCAGAGCTTTAGTTGTGTCTTAACAACAGAAAAAACCCCTCCTTTCTACTCTAAACAAACTGGGCGACCGCATTTTCAATTAAATCTAAACTACTATAATATTTAGAGACTAAGTCGCCAACATCAGTGTAAAATAGATTTAACAAGGAGCAGAATCTCAAGGATTTAATTTGTTAAAGATTTTAGACCTTTAAAAAACTGCCATGACAAATCTATGCTTGAAGGCAGGTTCTTGTTCCTCCAGTGATGTAAAAAAAAAAAACATTTAGGAAACATAGGAAACCAGTTACGTACCTTGTTTCGCAGTGACTTCAGTTCTTTGCTGACTCTTGCCTTGTGCTCCGGTGTATCATTGATAGGTGTCAAATATCGTTCGATCAGCTTATCCCAGAAGTCCTTCTCACCCTAAACACATAGATATATGTATATATAGATATATTTATGCAAACATTTTATTTAGGATTAAAAAAGGTAATTTAATTGTGTTCTTCGCAAGTTAAAAAGTTTTTATTTTGGCTGAAGTGTATCCATTCCATCCATCCATACAGGTGGTGACATAAGAAGCACCAGATCAACCACACTCTCACTACATTGCATGGGTGCATCTCAGCGCCTTGATGCATCTAGAAGCCATGAGAAGAATTTACTTATGGTTAAACTGAGCAATGTAGAAGAACATCATTAATGGGCTTTGATGGCATTGTGGTTGTTGGTGCTAGAAAAGCTGATTTGACATTTTCAGAGTCTGCTGATAAAATGAGATTTTCCTCACACAACCATTTCTAAGTTTTACTGAAAATGGTCTGAAAGGAAAACAATTTAATGAGTGGATGGAATTTCTTAAAACACCACATGATGAAACATGTAGTAGTAAAAGACCACACTGGATACCATACTGTCACAATAGGAAAATAAAGCTAGTATCTCTACTGGCTTGGATGAGGAAAAAATTACCTGCTTTACTTTTGACTTAAGATGAGACATTTAAATGTCAGGGACAAACAACATGCAGCATGGATTAACACCACCTTGTATTATTGGCTCAGATTGCTAGTGTTGGTGCAGTGGTGTGAGATGTTTTTAGGACATAATGTATAAATATGAGTACAATCTAAATATTGTTTAATCCCTAAATGTTCCATCTGTATTTTTGTTCAACAGTCTCATCTCTAAACAACCACCTTGTACCGTCTTTTTTTAATGGCTCTTTCTAGTAGGTTAATGCACCAAGTCACAAATCTTCGATGATATCAAACTTGTTAAACGGACATGATAGCAGGTTCCTTTTATCCCTCTGGTCGGCTGTCACCATATTACCACCTATTAGTTACAGCTAAAAAATCTGCAGTACATGTGATGTTATAATGTCAACATGGACCCACATCTCTGGGCAATAATTCTGACACCATGTATAAAATATGCTGCAAATAACTAAGAGTTCTGCAGAAGAGAAAAGGCTCAATCGGGTCTTAGAAATGATTAACCAGAAAAGCAGCTGGTGAATGTACGCTTGTAGTGTTATTGTATGTATATTGGACTGTGAGCTGTTTGGGCGACTCACCTCATCCAGCCTTTGCACCTGTGGGGCACTGAGGGTTTTCTCTATAGCTCTTTTCACTCTCTTTTCTAATTTAGTCATTCTATCATTTTTCAAGATGCGTCGAGCCTGGGGAATAAACAAAGTAAATTACTGGGTGATTTCACACTATCCTTGAAGACCTTATTCAAAGAGAATGAGTAATTTTAATTAACCAAAACCAAACTGTTATTCCTAGAGCTACTGTTCCAGAAACAACTGAACACATTTTTTAATGTTAAAAAAAAAAACAAAAAAACAAAACAAAACAAAACAAAACAAACAAAAAACAAAACACAAAACCTGATTAGTGAGTTCATGCTGTAAGTCATCAAGCTCAGCTTGATCCAAAATATCTTCCGGTCCTGCTTTGCTTAGCTTTATATTGATCGTGTCTGTTAACATTAGGACCAGTTCTTCACATAAATCCTCATGACTTTTGTTGTTGAGTGTGCATCTAGGAGAAAGAAGAAATAAATATCAGTAGGCATTGCTGCTCAATGATTGAAGCCACCTCAAACATTTGCACCTAAGAAATAAATTAACAAACAAACCAACACAGAAATGTTGGGAAACAAATCATAGGCAATAGTTGTATACCTCTGATTTGTAAACTCATAAAAATTGATTACCTCTACATAGGGTAATATTTAAAACTCTTTATTGCCAGTTTGGATTTGTCAAAACGTCCAAGTTTAGGATGTTTCTTTACTGACACTACCTAATGCAATTAGAAGTTAACAAAAACCTCACAAAAAGACTAACTAAACAACAAAAAACATCACAATTTACCGTAGTTGTGCTTCAAGATTTCTCTTCATGTTGAAATAAGTTAGCTTCTTCATAAACTCTTCTTTTACAGGCTCCACCCAGTCTGCATAAAAAACACACTCATATGGCTCAGTGTCAAGAAGCAAGTTTACTGAACATTCTCAAGTTTTCTAAACTTAGGGTACGTTTCACGAAGCACGTTTACTAATAACTCTAAGTTTTCTAAACCTGAAATATGGTAAACTCTGAGTTTTCCGTTTCACGAAGAGAGTTTAATCAACCTCTGTTTCAGTCATTCGTAGTAACATTTTCCCCAGAGCAAACCTGATCGGGAGCAGGTTTTCTTCAGTAAACTTGGAGTGTCCTAGAGATCCGCTCTCCTTAGAGTTGTTTCATTTCCTGATTTTGAGTTTTGCGCACACAATAAAAAATAAAATTATTCAGACACAATTAGACACATTAGGTGTTCAGTGGGATTGGTGGGGGATGTGGTGGTGGGGGTTATCTTCTGGTTAAGATTAGGATTCACTAAATGATAACGCCCTACTGAGCCTACTGGACAATCTGAGGCAGCCACTTATTATTTACTGTGTAATGGAAGACAGAATCAAACTGAGGAAGAACCCCATCAGATAATGTACAAGTCCTACCTGTTAGAACATTTTTAGACTTCATCTTCACCTGCTGTCAGATGATTTTCCCTAGACAGAATACGATGATCCACTACCATTCAAGAAATAAACCCATAATGTTTTTGTGGTTACAACAGGCTATGGCAAGCCGATTTGAAATGTTTTAGATTCAGTAAATATGTTTTTCTGATGTCTGAAAAATTGATTCCTTGTCAAAATGACCATTTCAAAGAGAATAACATTCTTCACATCTAGAATAATCATTCTGGATGCCTAGAAAATAATTTAAGATCTCCATTACTACGAGTCAGCATTTGTATTATTTTGACCAGGAAGAGATGTATTTCAGATATCATAAATATATATTCAGTCAAGCTGATTAAAGTCAAAATTGGCCAGTAAAAATGTGTACAATTGTAGGTATATAAACGTAATTCTTCTGAAATTCACTTTCTGCCATCAAAGCTGTAATTTAGAAAATCTATTATTACAGTTCCAATTAGGAAGGGTATTTTGATCAGGAAGAATCCTTTTTTTATTTATCTACAAATGGAACAACACAGAGGAGAGCGGCTTTAATAAATGTAAAAATTGCCACTTCATATAATCCTACGCATTAACTCCAGCAGCAATCTTCTCCTTCGCCATCTTCCTGTCTTTTGCAGCTGTAGCGCTGTTTCTTTGTTTTGTCCACTGGTGTGAAATAGGCACTTCCTGTTGCCTGTTGTCATTTTGACACATCGAATCTGGGCTCCACTGATAACGGCTTTTTAAAGTTGGAACGAACTTAGAGTTGATTAAACTAATTCATAGCAGCGGTTGAAATAGAAATTCAGAGTTGAGGATTTTAATCTGAGTTTTTTTTAATCTAATTCTTGAAACTAACCCTTTTCTCTTGTTTATTTCACATTATGAGTAACACATTGCATATAAAAAAACAACAATTTTATCGCTTCTTACCGCGGACAGGAATGTCTTCCATTTCTTCTAAATCACCATCGACTTCATCAGATGAGTGAGATGAATTAGATGAATCAGACGAATACGATTTTTGGCTCAGGTTATCATCATCATCATCATCATCATCATCACTGTTTACAAACACAACAACATTTTTTTTTAAGGTTTATCCTTCAAAACACATTGTGATAACACAAAGCAAAGCAATAATAGTAATAAAAGCAGAAGAATACCGGTGAGAGGTTAAAAGATCCTTGTTTTTGATCGACGCCTTTCTGTTTTTGTCAGTGTGAGGATTTATAACATCTCCATCTTTTTCTGTGATGTTATCAGGTTTAGTTTGAGGCTGGAGGTTTGAGGGGGCCTGCGGTTGTGTTTCATTGTTGGTAATTTGAAGAAGAGGCGCTTTCTGTCCGGTAAAACCTGCGATCTGTTGAAGCATTACATTTTCTGCCTCTTGGGTTACCTGTAAAACAGAAGAAGTCTTTACCTCTCTATATTCACTTGCTTAAATGTTTATTTATGGTTTTCTCTAACACTACCTGAATCTTCCAGTCCCAGCAGCACAGTCTACAGTCTTTGTTGCACACAACGCTGTGATGTTTCTTTTCTTCTCCTTCTTCCCTATTTAAAAAGGAAAATCAAAAAGATTTAAATATACATGGCCAAGTAATATTAACAGTACAGATATAATTGAGATAAGTGGGCTTTTGCAAGTTATTAAATTTAATTATTTTAGTTGTTATCACTAATTTACTGTATTTTGCAGTTTATGCCTTTTGAAATATGTTTTAAAAAACAGAAAATACCACATTTGCAGGTATGGAAGTAAAAAAAAAAATAAATAAAATAAAATAAATAAATAAATAAACAAAAGAAAAAACTGTTTAGTTAAAAAACAGAAAATAGAAATTTGCAATTACCATGAGATTATTCCATTTCTGATTGCAAAATATAGATTTAAAAAAAGTAAAAAGGCACCATATTGTATAATAGATCTAATTATTGCATTACTTGGATTCTCTTGTGCCCCATGACACATTGTTCATGTTAACCAGTCCATAGATGGTCAGCAGGAGGTATCCACTGGGAATGCAGATGAAATACATCAACCCATAGATAATCAACCCTAAAGGAAAGCAACAAAACATATCACCATACAATTAGCCAACACAAATTCAGCAAAGCTTAACATCATCTATTTTTTGGTAAAAGATTAATTGAACTGATACAAGAACACATTTTAAATGCAAATATTATTTATTAAGAAAAATCACTTAACACCAGCATAAACTGGATCTTTAAAAAAGTATAATGTATTTACTTATGTTCTCTTTGTACAATTTAAAAAATATGTTTGATCATCTCAAGTATTTCAGTCTAAGCAAAAAAATTCTGTGAGAGAGCAAAAAGGTTTTACCTGCTACTGCCTCTTAGTACAGGATAATACAGCTAATGGTAGATTAACTGCACTTAAAATACTCTTTATCAAGTTTGCAGACCCCAAAGCCCTTTACACTACATTCAGTCATTTACACAGCGACAGTGGCAAGCTATATTGCAGCCTATACCATCATGACATAGAATAACACAACATAGGCTAACTTATAACTATATAAGCAAACTTTTATGTGGATTGTTTATGGTGGTTTATTATGCATTGGCCGAGTATTCAGATGCGGCAAAACAAAATTATCTATTTCGATTTTTTTTGTCTAGTAAAATGATATTATGTTAAGGTTACTTGAAATAAAAATCTATGAAACAAATTTTATTAGGAAAGTTTATATTTGAATGAGCACAAGGACTATTTTAACTATTTTTTTATCTTTCTTTACAGCTCAATAAACAGTATGTAGAAGCAATCAAAGAAAGAGATTTAGGCAAAAATTAAATCTTGAAAAAAAAAACAGCAGATAATTCAATATCGACTGACAGAGGTAGTAAGGGTAGAGTTTTTATACTCATATTGTTTAAAATATAAATTTTCAGGTAATTTTGAATTTGAATAATGCTTATGCTTATGATAAAACCTTACCAAACTCTTCTGGATGAAGTATGGCTGTGATCAGATACATAATAGTCATTGAGATCAAAAACACACCGGTGGGGGTCAAGAATGTCTTCTGCACCACCATATCACCTAAAAGAAGAATCTTGTGTTTGAACATATTCAGAAACATTTATGTTAAAAACAAATCTAGTTAATAAAATTTTACTTACCAATGATGGAGAAGAGGGATGCAGTCATAAGGAATGCATACAGAACGCTCATGAGTGCAGCTATTGTTATTTGAGTATTTGCTTTAGTTGTAAAGCAGATGATGATATATAAGGTAGGGGGAATGCATGAGATGATGATGGAAATGGCGCCGTCAATCTTGAAGATGAACTGAAAAGCTCCTGCAAAAAATAATTATTGAGAATGAGGAACAATTGAGTCAACATTGAATGTATCTAACAATAATGACCCTTTAAACATGTCTGTTGGGCTAAACTATTTTCATAAATAAGTGCAAATCTAAAGTCTTGTAATTTATGTAGATAAAGTATCTGTAGCCTGTTTTAATTTATTAAAGGTTTTTAGATCAGAGTTTCTTTTCAGCTTTTGACCCATAAAATGGTACCAGAGTATACAAGATCAATTATCCATGGGTGTAATAATAATAATACAAACAGCATCAACAGTTTCTCTCCATTGAATGTGACTGCCCAGCTCTGCTCACCTGCTACCATCAGTGTCACAGAGGCGGGTCCCAGGATTGAGGACCCAACTGTAAACATCTGATAGAAGATATAAAGCCTTGAGATGGACTGATTTTTCTTCACCGTCTCACTTCCACTGTTTTTAAATAATGAAAACACAAGAATTAGTATATGAATATTTGAAGTTGTGGCATTTTCATAAGCATGTCATTAATTAATTAAATGCAGAATTGAAAAAAAAATTGTCTCACAAGAAACCAGAAAAATCTTCATAAAGATGCAAGATATCAAATCTTAATAAATACCATGCCACATTGTGTACTTATAGTCGATTGGATAGGTATTTATACCACTTGCACTAATTTTGTTTGTCACATTACAACTGTATATTATAGTGTATTTTATTAATAGTTGATATTGTAGATGATCTAGAAAAAGTTAAGTATAATTGAGAAGTGAAACAGAAATAAAGCTTTTCTTTTTGCTTAAAATGCCTTTGGTATATTGAAATTTGTGGTTAGAATATCTATAATTTGTATTTCTATGTACGTATATGAAGCTGAAAGTGCGAGTCTTGTTAAAACTGCATTTCTTATTACTATGATTATACACCTGTGCAAAAGGTCAAGGGTGTTAGCCAGTGTAGAAGGTCCCCATCGTCTCCTTTGGTTGTAAAACTCTTTGAATTCCTGTGGTGAGTTAGTGTATGCATCCGATGCAGCGTTATATTCCACCCGCCATCCTTGTTGCAACAGCAAGGTACACAACCAACGATCCTCCCCTAAAAATGCACACAGTGAGCTCTAATATGAGGCAGTCAAATCACAGCTTGTTATGTGACTGAATCAGATGAGAATCTACCTTGGTCATACTGCACATATTCTGCTCCTCTTGTTGAAGTTGTTGTGTACTTCTTTAGGATGTGGTCATCCATCAGTGCAGAACCTCTAAACAGACTGAAACATCCAGGACTGCACAACACAGAGCCGAACACATGCTCTGCAGTCTTCTGTAGCCAATGGCCCACTGCATATTCAAACTTCTGGTACCAAACCATGGGACCTATGGTGTGCAAGATAAATAAGGAATATAATGAAAAAAAAAAAAACGGTCAAACTTTAATCAGGTATAGCAACTAAAGGGCCAGTTCTGGGCCTTTTGTCAGAAGATCATGCAGGAGCATGCTGAAAATCCTTTTCTTTAGATCAGGTGTTTTCAAAAGGTAAAGCGTCTAAACCAGGGGTCTTCAAAGTTTTCCAGTCCAAGGACCCCCAAACTGATGGCGAGATGGAGCGGGGACCCCCTAACTATATTTATTGTATAAAATTGTGTTATATCAAACTGGTCCTATGGTCACTCTATTACATATGGAGTAATGTAACAAAAGTATTTTGCCCTGGGATTATTAAAGTATTTCTGATTCTGATTCCTGGTTGATGGGACAGGTGTTGTAAATGAAATGGTTCCCAGCTTGAAAGAGCTCCTGTGTGTCACTGAATGTGTGCATTGATGTTAAAATACATCTTCTGCCTCCATTTATCTGTTTACTACAGTGTGTTGAATTCATGTTAATGTGAATTTAAAGACATTTCAATAAGTGGAACGAATTGCAGTGGGCATATAAAAGGAAAGTCTAATCAACCAAAACATTTGCGACCCCCATGCAGTACTTCTGTGGACCCCCTAGGGGTCGCGGACCCCCTGTTGAAGACCTATGGTCTAAACCATGCATGCCGGCCTCTGACGGTGATAACAGCTCAGCCACTAGTATTGCCTTTGATTTCTAATCATTACATTTATTTTATATTCTCTGTTTTACTTATGCTATGTAATCCTAGCCCTGTTGTTTCCTACAATTTATGTAATCACATTGCCTGAAATGCAGAATACAATGCTAGTTGAATCAGCCAGTATAAAGGGACGGCTCAAGATCTACCGACAGCAGATGGCTTAAAGAAAATGTTTGGTTTGAAAGAAATCCTTGGTACATATATGCATTTCTTTCACAAAGACATTTAAATAAAGGAAAATTATTATTTTAAAACTAATATATGTATAGATGTGTAGGTGAAGAAACTCACAAAGTAGAGAAGAGTTGTGAAAAAGGCAATACTCACCCATACCAGTCGGATGGATTCTGCCGCATGCTGCACCTACATTGTAATACATTCTCAACCTGTTAAGAAAATTATTTTTTTGAAATTAAAAAGCTTTAAAGATAAAGTACAGAAGCTGAAACCAGAAATCCTAATTATATTTATAACATGTTTTTGAAATAAGTTTTCTTCCAAAAAGCAATAATCATTTTGTCATAAAAATGTCTACCGGTAAGTATTTTAAAGAGGAAAATAGTTTTGTAGTGAGAACCTCAAATCATTCTAAAATCCAAGTTAAGGATTATCAGCAGTCATTGTAATCTGATTGCAAGCTTAAATCTAACATGAATGAAGCTCAATCAGTGCTTAATAATTGTGTTAAGGACTGTTCCAAAATGTCATGACTTTTCTATACACAGCAGAAATCTCATAAACTGGCATTAAGGCAACAAAAAAATACCTTCATAATTTTAAGATCAGAGAACTTTGAAGTTATGATTTCAAGCAAATCTAATCAAATTCTATAAAAGCAAGCAGAGTCAAATTATCAATAGGAAAATACTGTTCCTCAGTGGTTAAAATAGACATAGTTTCAATGGTCCTTTCCTGACCTGTCCACAAGCAGTACTACTGCTTTAGGATGGAAGTCTGTGTCTCCGTCCAGAGCCAGGATGTATGTGTTGTCATCTGAAATGAATCTTCTCTTGTTATCATTGTCGTACTGAGGCAAAAGGAAAATCTCCCCGTCCATAGAGATCAGACTTTCTCTAGCGGCATCCATTCGCTGGAATCACAATGATAGATATTAATCATATTTACCAGCCTATATTTAGATAAAAATGGATACAAGTTGAAGACGTCTCTTACCGGCATTTTTTGGGGGTTCTTGGTAATATAACCTTTCCACCCAAGCAGGTAGTACATGTACATTATCTGATGAAAAGGTTTCAATAATTATAAAAGTAACATTTTACTTTTCATAGTATACAAAGTTTCCTTAATTCATTAACAATGAATTTCAAACCATCAAAAATTTGCACTTAAATGAGTGCAGACATGTTTGTACGAGCAGAGCGGAGCTTGCGTTTGCAGTTTGCAGCACATGCAAATTTTTTTTTAGCATGTTTGCATTTATTAATATGCAGATGATATTCTAATGACCAAACTACACAAATTCATTAAAGGATGACATGCAAATGTAAACATTTCCCACATGCAAAGCAATTTTCAAAATTGGGAACTGTGTCTTTTTCAATACTTCTTTTCTTGCTGCGATGACATTTTTTTCCTCCCTTGCATTAAATAAAACATTACCGTGCATTAAATACTTTACTTTATTTTACAACAGGACAGGATCAATTCCTTTGGATATTATACCCAAGCACTCAATTTCATTTCAGTGATGAGAGATTTCAAATCAACTTGATGTAAAAAACAAAAAAAAAAGTTTGTAACAAAGTTGATGTTCACCAACAGGGTTAAAAAAAAACAAAAAACAATAAAACAACAAAAACTGATATAGGATATATTTTCAATCCATGAAAAAGTAAGAAAAAGCAACTAGTATATAGCGATAATCAGTAAAAAAAGAAGGGTGTTGGTGGAATTTATTTTTTGGAAGCATATATAGCCTAATAGTTTATTAACCTTAAGCAATATGCATGGAATGATTGTTACATGTCAAGTACGCCAGTCATTGACCTTGACCAAAGGCACCTTATAGTAGAACTGCAGTCAGTCCCTGGACTGGCATGGCTAGCAGTGCCCCTACATAGTTAGGGACTAATTTCCCACTGGGATCAGCTTCATAGTCATGGTAGGACACTTCTTTGATTTTATTTACTTTGCTCAGGCTGCTCGTAAGCCTACAGCCCACCAAATGTTGAAAGGACAATATTATTGCCATTACTGTTAATATATAGTAGAAATTTTACACATTCAACAATAAAACGTCAAAGGGAATGGTATGGGAAGATGATAATTTAAGATTGAGATTATTTTTAAGATTTTTTTTTTAAGAAGGGGATGCCATCCCCCCTCATCCCCCCTCAACTCTAGTACTGGCAATAATCCCTTCATGGATACATTTCTGTTCCTTTGGAGGGTAAAAAGTGGTCTACTATGATAGAGTATGTTATGGTGTGAGCCCGTACACTGACTTTTCATACAGAGCATGCAGCTGTATCAGGTATTTCAGAATACCATCTACATAGTAAGGTACCCACACAAAACATATGAAGCATTTTTCATACCTGGGACCATCTTTTTTTGTTGCGAATGAGAGATTTGTCCTTTAGGTGAACATAGAGCATGTTACCCTCAGGCAGGACAAACATTAACCTCCCGCCATAAGGAGTGTCTATGATGGATACATCGTCCGGCTCTTTATTGGTGAACACCCTACAGTGGTAGAAATTGGTGAATTGGTTAAAGTGTGTTTGTACAAAACATGACACAGTGGGCAGATAATATTATTTACCTGTAAACTTCTGTTACTACATGAGTCAAGTCGTTCACATATTCATTAACCAGCCGTTTTCCTGTCTCCTTCTCTGTCATGAATGCGTCATCTACAAAGATGTGGCATTCAAAGTCAAAGCTGTCCTTGTGGTCCTCCTTGGGATCCCCTCGATAACGATCCAGTCTGTTAAAACAAAACAAAAGAAGCAAACAAAAAGTTATTTTCAGCACAAAAAATTAATAGGGTAATACCTTTTTTTAGAATTAAACCTTCCAGTTTTATATTTAACAGGGTATAAATTGTTCATATTTATCTAAGGTATGTGTTTTTACATACTTAATATAAAAAGCTTATTTAAATGTGTATCTGTTTAGAGGTGAGTTTTTATTTTTAATGTGTACTGAAAAACACGATTAATCTCTAGGCCAAAAAAAAAAAAAAAAAATGTCATGATAAGTTGATTGTAAACAGCTGTGTGAAGTGAGTTGAACCCACAGTGTTCAGTGTTGGAAACACTCTCTCGGTACTGAAAGCAATTGTTACCTGAACATTGAAGTGAGAATCTTCAGCATTTCATCATAGGTCTCGTGCCACATTGTGGCACAAAGATAGATCACAACACTTTGGAGTTCATCTTGGCTATGGAGGGGAGGATAAAAAATGATTAGATGATGGCTTTAGTTCATTTTAGATTTCAGAACAACACTAATTCTAAACAAAATGTTTGTTACATTGTGTTGGGATTAATTAAACTTCTCTGTAGTGATATTTTACTTAAAGACTACACCTTTCCTCTTAAGACTGTCGTGATCATCTACTGCTTTCCTTAATGTAAGTTGATCAATTCTTAGTCTACAACATCTACACCTCAAAAATGATCCAGAAATAAGTCCATATTTTTTAAATTACGTGTATTTACCCTTAATTTGAGTAGGTAGATAAGGTGATTTGCCAATGGAATTCGTATTTTTACTCTTGAAATAAGATAATTAGATAATATGCACTTGAAATAAGATAATGCAATTGTTTTTTTCTTATTTTAAATATAAACTGTCTTGTTCCATTGTCAAAGTGTCTCACTCACCTCCTCAATTCAAGAACAAATGCACTTATTTTAAGAAAAACTTAAATTACTTATTTAGATTTCATTTTTTTTTTCCAGTGAGTCCATTTGGTTTGATTGTTAAAAGAAATATCAGATTTTATTCCACTGCTACACTGATGATTTTCACAGTCATCATATAAGAATCTTTCAGTCCTGCTGAATCCTCTAATTGAACTACATATACATGGAAACACCTTCGGCCAAAGGCATGTAAAATTAAGGACATTTTCAGGGACTTTGGTGTTATTCTTTTTAACACTTTCCATCTATAAACATGCATCTAATTTTCAAAAATATCTCATTCCATCCTAAAATAGTTCCTACAGCAAAATGATGTAACACATTTGATGGTGATGTCTACAGCTTTAAAACTTCACTTTGAGACTTACTTCTCATTTGTTTGGGCCTTTGGTAGCTTTATCTTAGTGTTGAGCAGCATAGATAGGTCGATGAAGGCAGATTCATAGAGACGACGAACAAAGAGCTGCGATGTTCTCTCAATTCGCTGAACCTGGTTGGAATAAAAACATTAAAACATTAACATTTGAGCCTTCATGTGTGGTTTACTAAATAGCTTGTTTCCTCTAACATGTAATGTTAGACTTAGCTTGGGTTTTACAGGTGGTTGGGTTAACAAATACTTTATAAAACCTTAGTTTTAATAATATGTTTTTTCTATAAAGTGAAGGATGGTGTAAATGCAGGCAATACAGTACCTGGATCTTCCACACATAATAGGTACAGGAGACCAATCCAGCCCACATGCAAACACCCTCCAGGAACAACATTGCAGTAGGCCATTGCAAGTAGTGGCTGTCAATTAAACAATGCATGCTTTTGAGAAGATTTTACACATCTACAAAGATTCCTATACATCTCCAAGGGTATTATATGTACCCATTAATATATGTGTTGAGAACATAAAATCCTAGGAGGTTTTAGCGCTGTTGTGCACAGTGTGCTATACCTGTTGAGTGAAGTACTGCAGATGCTACGGGTCATTTCAAACAAAGGAACATTAGTTGTGTTTTTGTCCGTTGCCAGATGCAAATGTGTACAAAATTCTGCAAGAATAAAAATATCCATTGATTAATTCAGTTCCTTGCACCACATAAGATGTCATACAGTGCACTTCTATTTACAGAAACCCTAGTAGTTCCCAGAAACAAGATGCTTCTTTATCTGCCCCAATATAATTTAATCAAATTACAACAAAAAATCTGATAAGGGGCTTAAATATCCAATTTAAGGAAAATTAACCTAATAAAGAGCAAAAAAAACAATCAAAAAATGGTGCATATACTTGTCAAACTATCCTAAATATTTATTTCAGTCTTAAGAGGAAACAGTATGATGCTGTACTAAGCCAAAAGAGTTCATGCAAGGCATGTTTGTTTGCCTGCTCCAAGTGGGCCCTTTGATCCCTCTCAAAATTTGAATTAACATTGTTATTCGAAATTATTATCTGTCCAAGGACTTTGGGATTTCCTGTGATACTTGTGAAATGAAACACTTCCTCTAATAGTATTTTTCAGTTTTGAGATTTTTAGAATAATTTTAATCTTTTTTATTCAAGTTTCTTGAATCATCATCCCATTATTTTCATAGACTTATTATTCAGCTTATAGATCTCCTTAGATCTGCAGACGGAAGAAACTTGTCACTGATCAAGACTCGGAGCTCTAGAAAAATGGTCGACTTACCAGTGATGTTTTTGTACTTTATGTCAACAAAGTTCTGTCCTTGTGTCAGCAAAAGTATCAGTCCCAGCAACAGCACGGCAGGACCCGTAGCACACAGTGGCAGTGCAAAACTCATGCGCACAGCATGGATCTTACAGGCAACCACCCCAAACCAGTGGCAGGCTGCCGAACAGAAGGCCTGTGGTAAAATACGGGTAAACGTTGTTTAAAGCTTGCATTTTGCCTTTGGAGGAATCGGTTTTATTTCTCAATTTAAGGTTCTGGCTTTGCAATGTAACCAACTGATAATATTACCTTGCCTATTAAAAAAACCAAAAAAAAAAACAAACAAAGACAGTGTTAATAAAGATAATAATGAGAACATTCTTGTCCTGTGGTCCTATTGACTGGCTTTTTTATGACTGAAGGTTTGCACTGTTAAATGTGATTTAAGGTCTGTTTAAGTAAATAACTAAAACAATAGCAAAATAGCATATTCAAGTTTTTTCAAAAATCTCTCCCAGTAACAAGACCAAAGAGAATATCAGTATTATATTATACACAATTCCTTTCATAGGTATTTCATAGGTAACTATCAGACAGTTTTCAACATACCTGTAAGAAAAGGAGAATAAGGCCTATTTGGAGGGTTTTCTGGTCTTTACCTGCCAGATTAAATTTAGGCCAGTCAATTGTCTTTGCAATAAGTACATGGTAGATGAGGTACACAGCTCCTGTAAGAAGATCATACCACATGCAGATAAAACATCGGATAGAGCACAAAGATAGAATTAAGATCCCAAAAAAAAAAGAAAAACTAAAGTTTAAGGTCAAATAAGATTTTTATTTTATTTGCAAAGGCAAAGAAATCATAATATAATACTACAGAGTTGAATAAAAGTATCAAAACCCAGGACCGTGATCCACAGGGTATCTGAATTTCTTATAGGAAATGAATGTGTTTTTTAAAATTCTTTTTTTATTGTGCCTGTTTTAAGGTCATCATACAAATTGGTATTCATGTTAAAAAAACCACCACCCCGGAACCAAAAAAAAATCTAACTTAATAAATTTACCAAACACAAAAATGAATTATTACCGGTATTATATTTCTTAGTTCTTATTGTTTTTTCTTTTTTTAATGCACCCTTTTTGAAGGCTTTTAACATCCTTTGTGTGTGTCAATACAGTTTTACCTTCTTGGGTCAAGTTTCATGGATAAAAGAGGGAAGGACTTTTCAGATTACTCTGAGATTATTAAAGGTGTAGGGTTGAAAATAAATTTTCAAATAGAAGCATAATGACCAAGGAGCATGGCCAAAACTATTCAAGTTTGATACTTTTATTCTTTCTGTGACACAAAATAAACATTCACAATGTTTGTAGGTAAGAATTAAGCTCAACTCAAATATTCACTGGGTTTATCAAGATATTCTCAAAGAGCTCCTCTACGTCTGCTGACTGGTGACCAGGGAGAAAAACTGTTTTCCTGCACATTGGTAATAAACTCTAGCTGGTTTTCACCAATGGGTGGAAGCTAAGCACATATGTAATATAGTCTGTGGTTGCTGAGTTTTTTGTGTCTCTTTTCCTCTAACTACAGGACTGGAGGTGAAATATTAATTTCTTTACAACTTTCCTATATGTCATTAGGCTGATCAGAATTAATGTGCCATCTTTACGAGTGGTAGGAACAGAAATACAAAAAATACCTTGTATTCCTTATTCCTGGTTATAACACATCATAGGGCTTTAAATCCGAAGACTTTTTGTGAAATTGTGCATAATGTTGTTTCCATAAGTGCATCAGTAGATATTGATATATTTAAAAAATATGATTAAATGCAGATATTTTGTGCTCTTTAGTGATAAAATTGAGTTAATGTCCTACATTAGACAAATTTAAAAAACAGTTTTTTCAGGAGCTCTATTACTGAGAACTTGGTAGCAGAGACATGAAGCCATGGCTCTAAAAATAATAATAATAAAATAAAATGTTTTATAAACATTATCATTTCCTGATAAAACCTATTTACATATTCTTGGTTTTCTTTGTGACTTTTCTTCTGTCCAACTATATCAAACCAGTGATATCAAGCCATAATATTTCACATCATGTGAAATATTACCTGTGCATTGTTTGACTGATGTAAACTAACCAAGCATTGACAGCAGATAATTACCTATCACCAGTACTCTCAAAATGCTGCTGATGACAAAGACAAAGTCCTTGTAACGTTCCAAATCCTTCAGTGTTTCCTGTGAAGCAAGACATAAAATAGTTTCACTGGTTGTCATTAGCTGGCATGTCAACTCAGTGTAATATAAAGATCCCGCCCTTCAAGGGTTGAATGTTCAGCTAAAGATGGATTTAAAAGAAACATAATACCTGCATGCGGTTTTTAGCCTGGACAGCGTTTTCCCACCAGCAGAATGAGATGAGGATTGAAGAAAGAATCCCTATGCCCACGTATAAATAGCTATCATCTTTTTGTCGATCCACAAAGGATTTTATACGAACATAGTAATCCATCACCAGCAGGCAGTAACCTGTAATTCAGTCAGTTATTTAGTCTCTTAAAATTACTTACATCAAAGCTCACATGCACCTTGCCAATGGGTAATACTCTGTTGGATTTTTATGTGTTTTCTTTTGGATGCTTTACTTACGTTCTTAAATTGGCCCCCAGACAGAAATAATCTTTTTTATTAAACTGAATCTTAAACAGCTGGTTTACCTTTATATCTATATTTACCACATCTTAAATAGAAGGCTGCAGTTTTGATTAACATTCAAAGAATTTTCAAATTAGTTTTCTATGATTCTGAGAGGGATAAGTGTGACATTGTAGCAGTGTAACAGGAAAACCTGTGCAAAACGTTTTTTTTTATTTTTTAAAAAGCACAACGTCAGAATGATTTCTGGAGTTTTACCAGAAGTGGTGAGAAGGAGGGAGCAGATCGGGAACAGAATTTTCCAACTTTCCCTTTGCAATCTGAACACGATCTGTAGCACAGCAGAGAAAATGCAGACTCCTCCACTAATGAAGAGATTCGTCAGGACGTCAAACTGAGGCATAACTACGAGGACCATTACTGAGGTACCAAGAGATACCACACACTCAATCAGACAAATCTAAAAAAGACAAAAAATAAGAATAAAAACTTAAAAATTAAACTTCATCGAAAAAATGCATAAGAAGAAACAAAACCATGCATTTAATCTGTGCTGTATGTCATGATGTAATACATTAGTTATGTCATAACTTGTTATTCCTTTGATACATTTACCAGTAATTAACAGAATTTATTTCTAAACATGCTTATAAACTTTCTAAAAGACCACTTATCTTGTAAACAAAGATTTAAAATTAGCAGTTAAGTATACTACAGTCTTATTACAGTAAGTAGTATAAGAAACATGATGAATTGCTAAAAGAAGTTATGGAAACGTACGAAGGCCATGGTCTTCATATTGGGTGATTCAAATGTCTTGAAGAGGCAGCGCCAGAGTGACTTCAAAAATACTAAGAAGTTGGGGAAGACCAGGCAGAACACCAGCATCAGCATGTAGAACTGTCGCTCACCGGGTTCACGGAATGACTTTGGACTGGATAGTGCCGCCAACATTAAGAGAGACCCCTGAAAGTAGATCAGTGATAAAGTTTTTATCTTGAGAGATTAAAAGGAAGTCTGAAAAGGGAAAGAACAAAGGGGGATATAAAACATAAACAGTACATCTGTTAAAGATTAATTTGGTGTAATAAGGATGTGATACACTAGGAAAGAAATGTAGAAAATAATGCTTGCTCTAGAGCTGGTCCAAAGATCCATGACCAGGGAAACTGGACCGTCTGCGGTGGTAATATCAAAAATTAAAAATTCAAGTGACGTTTGTTTTTTTTGTTTTTTTGTTGGTTTCCCGACTGGCTGTGTGAAATTGTTTAAAATCCACCAGTTCAGTAAGAAAAAAATAATTTGATTCCTCTGTTGAAATTCTAAACTTGGCAATTGGAGGTTTATTATTTTTATTTCTGAAAAATAAATATTCAAAAGTAGCAAATATTCTTTTGGGATAAATATAATTGTACCTTAGAAACGACAGCACTGGCCAGGACGGCAAGCCCAACAATGACAGCCACAAGGTACTGAGCGAATTGGAAGCATCTTCTTTTTTTCTCCTTTTCTGCTCCTACAGGATTCAGTTGGAATGGATCCCATGTGTCCCTGAGGTACAAACCGATATGTAAGCCATCAGCTTATCTCTGGACAAAATAAATAGTCATTTACATATTTTCTTAGATAGACAACTTTGAACCATTTTCTATGATCTGGTAGAATTATCTCTGTAAAGTGCCTTGTGATGACATGTGTAGTGAATTGGAGCTATATAAATAAACTGAATTGAATTAAATCTCTATAAATGAGTAAAATATAGAGAGACATATTATTTGGGAGAAAGTCATCCCCAAGTTTATTTGATGACCAGACGGGGGAGTCACAAAACCCCAAATTAAGGTTTCGAGATCAAACTAAATTACCCGTAATCTTACCAGAGATAAAACAGGACAACCATAGGTATTTGAGTTTCAATCAACAATTGAACTTTGACTTTCAGAAACTCTGAAAAAACACTTTACTCCAACAAAGTAGCCAGATCTGGCTGAGTCAATTAGTATTGATCACCATTATGTCCAATTTAACTGCTCATAATGTTTGTTATGTAGATTAAGTAATTCATTTTTCAGGTAATTTCTATTGTATCTCCCTTTTTTTTATTTTGCACCTATTTTGTTCTGTGTTTTCTTTAGTAATCTTTTAAACTGAATCCTCTTTGTTTTATTAAGTCCTTTCTGTCTACACAGGAAAGCTGAGTGACATCAAAAGTCTGGATCAACAGAAATCTCCACCACTCCATCAACCATTGTAGAGCATTTGAAGCAGTGCTATACAGTACATGGTGTGACCAAACTCAAATCCTTTACGGTCTATGCTACTTTTTAACATTTTAATGTGTACCCTGCCTGTAACAACTGAATCAAAGGACCAAACAACCTCAATAGTATGCAGTCAAGGTATAAAGAGCTCTCTGAGAGATAATATTTCATTCAGATGTGTGGAAATAGAGAAGTATCTAATAGTTTTAGGACACTGGCCCTTAAGGGCTGGAATTTGAGAGGATTTCTCTAGGGAGAAATACAAGAATCAAGCTTTTTAAACATGATGCTGAATGATAAAACATAACACAGCAAAACAAGCTCAGCCTCCTTTTCTGAGAGGATGCTATTTTGAATACCAATAGCATAAATCTGCTGATCTGACATGTTCTTTAAAAACAATTTCTTAAAATTACTGTAGGATCAAATGCCTCTTATTGAGATAAGAATCGTTGTGTGTAAAAACTCTTGAGTTTGAGTTTTTCTTATCTCCTTTTGCATTTTATTTTTCGGTCTGCAGTAAGATGAATGGTTTTCATCATCGTTATTTGATTTATTATAATTTGTTGGAAAAAATACATGCTGTACAGTTGTGGTCAATTATGTGTTACCTTGCTTTTCGAATTCTTTTGCAAACAGTTTAATTCGCAAATGGGGAGTGTTGGCCTAATGGTTAGAATAGTGCACTTGTGCTCTGAGAACGTTGCAAGTGCCCGGTTCATTCCCACAGCCTCCACTGTGGCTCCCTGAGCAAAGCCTTTAACTCCCACACTGCTCCCTGTGTGCCACACAATGGCAGCCAGTGCTCCCCAAGGGGATGGGTTAAATGCAGAGAGTCAATTTCTCCATTGTGGGAAAATAAAGGATTTTAATTCTGTCAAAGATCATCATATAGATTTGTTTTTGATATTTTTTTTTCTGTATTTGTGTTTGTATTAGTTCTTACATCCTAATTTAGGTAAATGCAGTTGCTGAGTCAAACCCAAACACGAAATGAAGAAACAATATTAAACCACTATTATAGCTTAATATCTCTGACTTTGATAGACGACAGGCGACCGAATTGCTTAACTTTTGCACCCCCACTGCTGATAGTTTGATCATCATAAATAAAATGGTCATCAGGGTGTAGGCTGTTATTGGACAGATAACCCTTTATTTATCATTGGCTTTGGCATAACAACCATAAAAACACTTCAGATTGAAGATGAGCAAAGCCACAAAGGTGGTTAGATTATATGGGATATAGCTGATATACAGCTTCAAGAAGGCTCTTTACAATCTGTTCTTATATAAACTGATTAACATTTTGGTGATTATTTATTCAGTTAACTTATTATATTGTCAAATGTAAAACTAACAATTAGGATAAAATAACTAATACAAATTGCATTTTAACAGAATCTCTTACAATAAGTGAAAATAACCTCTTTTAACACTATACAAAGCACATAAATCTAAAATACACCTGGTAATAAGGAAGTATTCTCCAAATAATACTGATGTAAGTATTTACTTGATCTCCAGGCACTAAAATGATAAACAGGACTTTTGACCTTTTTAAAATTTTCCCATTTCCTTTTCCCTGTTCTACAGCTTTGTGTGAATATGTAGACACAGAGCACAAAGTCCACCTTTAGATGAATCTTTGTAGAAATCACAGCCCCTGAACTGTAATAAATGCTTTAAGTCAACATGGCTGTTCTTCTTTCACTTAGGTCAACCTAATAAAACCCTCTTGTGTAACAGCTGCTCTGTGGCTAATTGGCAACAACTCAAGAAAAAAAAAAGCAGCTCTCATGCATTCCATCAATTTTCTATAACTTTGCAAATCAAAACAAGCTGCTGGCAGAAGAAAAATTAGGCATATTTAAGGTTGTGGCTCTTCATAGATATCACTGTGATGCTAAGTAAGAAAGCTATCTTTTTTATTTTTATTTTTTACAAGAACTTTTAGAAGTAAATTAGATTTTTTTTCCAGCTTTTTTAGCAGCAAATTGTTTAAAATGAACTGGATTGGATGAACTATAGTTAATCATACTGAGCACTTTTACTCCCTGAATCCCACCTACCCATCCACACTTTTAGCATCAGTACTGTTCTAATTAAGGTTATTGTTACAGTAGACTCTAATAGTGAGGTTAGAAAACCAACAGCCTCGGAAAACATTTTTAATATATTTATGAAAGTATAAGAGTATTTTTTGTGAAACCAAATGTCTTCTTCCCAAGCAACATTTTGTTTAAAAACCAGATTACCCTACCTTCTATTTGAAGCTGTGGCTTGGCAAGGCAAGGCAAGTTTATTTGTATAGCACAATTTAGTATATAGAGCAATCTACTGTTGTTAAAGTATGATTGAATTTAGATGAGGGGAAGTCTTTGTCTGGCAACAATGAAATCAGCAGAAATGGGCACAAAAGTTAAAATTGGGGTGACAGTGGCGTTGGATGTTGGATGTAGGAGTTTGCTTTCTGAAATCGAAGGATTGACGGTTCAAGCCCCGGCCCTGACTTTCAGTGTCGTTGTGTCCTTGGGCAAGACACTTCACCTGCATTGTCTACTGATGGTGGTCAGAGGGCCCAGTGGCGCCAGTGTACGGCAGCCCCGCTTCTGTCAGTGAGCCCCAGGGCAGCTGTGGCTACAATGTAGCTTGCCACCATGAGTGTGTGCGTGAATGGGTGAATGAATGTAGTGTAAAGCGCTTTGGTCAAGTTTCCTGACTTGAATAAAGGCGCTATATAAGTACATGCCATTTACCATTTAAAATCTTTTACTGCATTAAATAGAAGAATGGGCAAACTAGAAGTCTGTTTGTGTGTTGATGTCCAGAAGATCAAATCCAAAAACATTATATGCTTTTATGGTTTAGTAAGATTGACTTAGTTTTTTATTGAGTTAAGTTGCTGTGGACACTTTTCTGACTAGATCATTTCTACTTTTTGAAGGCATATTTCATTATTTAATGTGTTTGCTATATTAGACGTACCTGTATTTCAGATACACAAAACTATAAAAATTCTACTATTGTTTAACAAATTAATGTACACAAAGTAAAAAATAACAGCGTATGTGTAATAAAAATGTTTAAAGTGCACAATTTGCACTTTTATATTTGAATACATAATATTGTAGCTAAAATTTCTAAAAACTTTTGTTTAATTTTTGTTCTTTTGCCAATTTTTGAATAAAAAAAACAACATATCTAATTGAAATTCTAACAATTAAGAAATAAATACAAAATATTGGCTATATTAATAATAAAACATAAATTTTATCTTCAGAATTGTATTCTAGTTCTTAAATTTCAGTAAGGGATCTGCATGAAAATATGTCACTATAAGTAGTAAATGATGGTTTATTATTTGTGGGTTTATAGGCTAACCTAGTGACATGATTGAAAATACAGAAATATGTTTTTAGCTTAGATTATAAACAACTGGAAGCAATACAATACTTTCTTTTTAGACTCCCCTCTAAATAACTTAATTAATGTCTTTATTTTTCACTTGTTTTCTGTACCTCTCGGATCACTCTTCCAATAAGGGGGGGACTAGAGCTTGTTCCAGCTGCTAATGGGAGTGGGTAACACATTGGACAAGATCATGGTCAATCATAATTACAATATAGTGCTGAAAGAGACACTAACTGAATCCTAAATTATATTTAAAAAAATCATAATTTATTTTGTGTTATAAAGTGGCCAGATTAAATCGCAACATAATATGAAAAGACTCAAAGTTAAACTGGGAAATATACTTAATATACTTTACATTTTGATAAATAAAATCAAAATGCATGACCTTAGTAACCATAATCTTGCAGACTAAGATTTGTCTCAGAAATTCTAAAATGTTTATTTCTATTTCTAAACCAGGTAACCTGATTCCATATGTCCCTCACAGCTACCAATTTAGAGGATATGATTAAAGCCATGGTACGTATTTAACATTTTTCATGCCCCATCTAACAGCAGGCAACATCAACGGGGGATGATATCCGGCATAGCAATAAAGAGAAACGCAGCAGTACTCAGGGGAAATTAAGTGTTCCCTCAAACTGTAAATAATATTTAATTGAAACCTGGTAATACAAGCAAGCATTTTTTAATCTTATCCGATACTAATATCTATCCCCAACAACAATTAACCTCCTAACAATGATGAAGAGGTTAATAAAGCTTGATTGTGTGCCTATGCACAAGGAAATAAAATAGACTCTGAGATTTAACCTGTCTGTTCAATTTGTTTCTCACTCTCTCTTAAAACAGGTATTAGGAGACGACTGGATAAAATGCCCTACAGATCTCTGTTTATTGAAGAACATGTGATGTTGAAATAATAAAATAAACTCACTCCTATGTTATTTTCAGCCTAGGCACTTTTTTAAAAATATATTTTTAATTTTTAAAGAGGTCATTCTTAGTTTACATATTTAACTTAAATAGCACACCCGTGAGAGCATTTCATGGCAACGCCTAACAAACCCATTGCTTCCTTATGGTGTGACATCATGAGAAAATTTAATAAAAACTGTCAAGGTTTTAGGAAGAGATTTGTGGACCTCCACAGGCCTGATTCATCCTGATTACAATATCCAGAAGCAGGAAGTTGTCTCATTTATCTTGTGAAATAATAAAAATATAAACATGTCTGCATCATTCAGTTCAGCAGGGAGATGGATAAGCTTTGACAATAACAGATTTCTTTTACATTTGGAAGAAAATGGAAAATTTATGAATAACAAAAACACCATCCCAACTATGGACTATGGAGCAACCTCATGTTGTGGAAATTGTGTTTTTGTTTTATATTTCTTCAACAGGAAGGACTGGTGTTCTTTACAAAATACATAAAAAGGAAATAGCATTATCTGGAAACTAATAAATAAGAAGCATCTCAAGACATTAACTACTAAGTTTGGAAGCTTGTCAATAAGCAGTTATCATAAACATACTGCAACACATATTAGGAAGTGGTTCCATGAATTGTGTCGTGAGGATTGAGAATTCTAGCAAACCGAAGAGAAAAGCTTGTGGAATGTTTACTAAAAATGAACCTTATCTTGTAAAAAGGGAGGTTAATGTATGTAATTATTGGACTTCAAAGAAAGTTACTGAAAATACATAAGCAAATAATTGTTCATAGTTCTGGAATTTCAGGAATAGAAAATATTTTTAATTTTAAATGACATAAAATAAAGAAACATATTAAGAGTCATATTTAAATACAGTACTTGGGGTTTTATTATACATAGTTATCAGTTTCTACTGCATGTATAAAATGGAATATATTAGGCATTTTTTAGACGTTTTTAAAAATATCAGGTGTCCATAACATTTACATTTGCCTCCCTAAACAAAATAGATAAACTAAGAAGTAAAAAAAAAATAATTATGATCAAAGTCTGCTAATAGGACCTCCATTAGCCTGCATGTGATTCACCACTCTACATTCACAGATTGGCAATATGGGTCTCAGCTCCTCTTCTTAAAGGATTCTTTTTGAATAAAAAGCAAATAAAGCAAAATTAACAGGGCTGTTTACCTGTGCCTTCCCTCTCTCTTCCTCCCCCTGTGTTTTAGATCCTCCATTGGGTTGGTCTAATCCACAGCTTCAGCGAGGGTCTGAAATCAGTAATGGTTCTTATTTCATTACCAACATTACAACATATTTTAAAAAAGGGAAACTTTTAGGAACATCAAAAGAAAAGAAATGAGAAAATAGCAGATTCAATTTACCGCAATTCCTTGATAATTCTTCTATTGAATGACAGCCTCTTCTAGACAAACTTTAGACCCTGATTTTTGTTTCCGTAGGCAAATGTCAGCAAACCTTAAAAAAATAAGACATCACTAATTGTAATCGACAGCTACGTGTGTAGTTCCCACCGAGTCAGTCACTGCCAGTCTGTGAAGCAGCTTCGTCTTTCTAAAGCTGTTTTATTTTCTGTTATCTATGAAGCTTATAAAAGAAACACCCATAAAGGCAGTGATTTCCATCCCTCTCAGGTGTGTTCACTGTTATCAGAGTTTATGAAAGATAAGCGAGCCAGGAAGTACGTCTAAGGGAAATATATAAGCAATTCACCATGAGCATAAGTTACAGTAATAACTCCAGATCTGGGGTTTGTGTGTGCGTGTGAAGTAGACTCATCAAACTTTGTCAGTAATAAATAACTTTAGGCTATCTTAGCAGTTTTTATGAGAGCTGTAAGATTGTCCAAAGGTCATTTAGACTGAAACACATGAAAAGGTGGAGTATAGCTGAACAGTATCCTCAAATGTAGCTTTAGATTCCATGAACCAGGAAACATTTTTATGTGAGTGTGGTCTTTGGCATGTGTTATTGTTTTGGCGCCCCAGTTGTGCTATATGAATACTGCAATACATAAAAGTACAAATAACACTTTTTGTTTTAAAGATTTTATAACAATATGTTGAGTTACTTTATAATTGAGTTATTAATGATTTAAACAGGCCAGAGATAAAGTTGGTTTATAGCAAGTTTTAGTTTGGTTTTAAAAACTTTTTACATCTCTCACTTATCTCTTAATCCACCATCAGGAAAAAGAGAGAGAATGGTGAAATTGTAAAATTACCAATATTTGAATTGTGCTGGTGAAGATTCTCAGTCCCCCAAGTCATTATCATTCCAAAAAAAGAAAATCAATCATTACTGTGTCTTCTTGATAGTGCAATTATATATGCCATCTGTGTGCAATGCTGCTGTACATAAACAGAATACGCTGAGCACTATCCTTACTGTGACCGGGACAGGGAAGCTACAGAAAGCTAAATACAGGACAATGTCGGAAGAAAACTGTTAGAGGAAGTAAAAGACTGGAGATCTGGTTGGAGGTTAAATATCCTGCATTATAATGACATCATAAAAACTCTGAATAGTTTTGATTAAAATACTCATGTGTTACAATGGCTCAGCCAAAGTAAAATGCTAAAACCGAAATTGGATTTGAGGCAAGACTAGAAAATTTTGCTCCACAGACAACATGTGGTGCTTCTGAAATGAATAATCTAGGTTAATATAAATACAAACAATGCTTGGTGAAATATTGGATATTGTGTTGGTCCTTTCATTTAAGCAATCGAATATATTGAATTTTGCTGTTTTAATGTAGAAAAATGTTAACATCTAACAGATAACTAAGGAATTATACTTTTAAATACTGCATTATAAGCAGTCTTCATAAAGACACATTCTCTTAACAAATTGCACCAGACATGTTTAACTTAACACAGATGACTATTGATTACAGATATTGGAGGCTAAGGGGTGTAAAAATATTTTAAAAAATATACTTTTTAAAGCAACCATGTCAATATTACTCAGGCTGTCTGTGTTGATCACCACTGGGTGTCACTATAGAGCTTTAACTAATAAGGTTTGCATCAATGCTTGAATGATCTTTTTCATTTCAGTTGTATGAATGTGCATTGAGATAAACTGAACATATTTTTTCTGTAATTAAGGTTTGTTAATTTAATCTTCAAGAGTGTGTTTGCCACGTGCCTGCATGTTAATGCACCTGAGCATGTGTCTGTGATGTGGAATCAAAAGGAAGTCACTGTCAGTTTGAGGACTCTCATTAAGAAACCCTGGCAGTGTCTCTGGCCATATGGTCATCATAACACAGTTTCTCCTTCCTCCCTCAAGTAGTTTAGCTTGACAGCAATATCTGTGATAAAATAGAAAACAAAAAACAAATGGAAACATGTTCTACATAATTAATCTGGAAATGTCCTATAAGATTTCTAAAACCATCACTATTAACACACACACACACCACCATAGATATATTTTCTCGTTTTATTTATAATATTGAGCAAGTATTTTGTAAAATATCCTACATGGGGGAATTACAGGTACATATGGGAACATTCAACTTGTCCTCATACGGTAATGTTCTGTTCTTTGAGTTGGGGTTACATTTAAGACTAAGGTGGGAATTCAGTTTAAGTAAGGGTTAGAGTTAGGTATATGTTAGTGATAGTTGGGTCTAGATTAGGCCATATGAAATGGATGCAAGTGAAAGAAATATCCCTATATATCATGAAAACAAAGGAGTGTGTGTGTGTGTGTGTGTGTGTGTGTGTGTGTATATGTGTGATATGTTAGCTAGAAATTTTCACTCTATGATTTCTGATCTATGAAATGTGGCTCACATCACAGAAATAAAGTAAGTCAAAGCTTTTTTAATGCTCTCCACAGCTGATGCCACTCAGCTCTGCAGAAGAGGTCAGTAGTGGGGTACATCGACTTTGATTTTGGTCTCATGGAAATTTGTCTGTGTCAAAGCATAATATGGGTTGTGTTGATGTAAACCAAGGTGTTACAGTCACATGTACTAACTTTGTTAACACTTAGACTTAAGAAGAGTGTTTAGCAAAAGTAAGTTGTAATTTTAAGTGTGCTCCATGTGCTGTAAAAGACTAGTAGACTAGTAGAAATTTAGATTTTTGGAAAATGAATGTGGTGGGGTGTGTTGGTGTTTGATCAGAGCAACAAATGATATGAGGCCATAATCAAGAATATTCTGGATGAAGACTTGACCACAGAAAACACAAAGTCTTTGTTTCCTTAAGTAGATGGAAATTATAGCTTTTAAGCCGTGATGCCAATTATGTAGTGAATTTGAGTTTCTGTTAGGTAGCACATTTCGAAGGCCAGGGGGTGTCATATAGACTGGGAGAATTACTGTGTAATAAAAAAGGAAAATAAAGAACTAGCAGATAAATGACTACTAAAAATGACAAACAGGAAAACCTTTAGTGCCCCGAGGGCAGTAATTTATCATGATTGGGTTGAAAGAATTAAAAGAAAGGGGTAAAATTGCCTCTCTGAATCACTTTTCACTCCACGCTCCCTGTAATATTTAAAAAAAAAGCCAGACAAGCTGACTAATTCATAAAAACTTTGATTTTTATTCCACTGTGAAATCCATGTCTTAAAAGAAAAAGCAGACATTTGTCTTCTTTTTAATGATGTTGACATGATGTTCTTACATTCTTTCAGTGAAATGAAACAAAATCAGTCAAATATGTTGCAAAAAAAACAACTACGGTAGATGTATAGGTTTAGAATAAGGTCAAAGTCAAAAAGCCTTTATTGTCATCATATTCTGCAACGGATACAATGAGATTTTGGGACTTCCATATCAGCTACCGTAAAATAAATAAAAAATGAAAAATAGAAAAAAATATATAAATATATTAAAAGGAAACAGTAGAAGTTCAGAAAGAAATCACTTAATTAAAGCCTTTTTTTTTGGACTGCATTCTACAAAATGTGGTGATAATCTGTATTTTACAGGACCAGACTACTTAAAAAAAAGAAAGGGCTTTGACATAACTTTGTAAAATTAGCATTGCTCAACTTAAAATGCCACTTTTTTGTACGTGGGGAAGCATGAAAAGCTCAACTATACTAGGAAATTAAACTGCGAATGACTGAGTGCATTTCACAATATTTTAATCAGCTAACTGCAATAAAATGGTGTGAAATCTTTATTACAGAAAGCTATTTTCTGTGTAATTTATTTGCTGTACTGTACTGTATGTTGCAGGCAGAGCTGCAAATGTGCGTAAAATAAGCTTAGGTAATGAGGACTGAATGTGTGCAGATGGCACACTATGTGTGCTGAATCAATCTGCTGAAACTCTGTTCTGAGTCAAACCAAAATAATTAATGACATTTCAGTGAAACCTGTTGGCTCAATCAGTTGCCTACTGCTACGTTTGATTAAACAGGTGTTGGATGGATCCTCTAAGTCTTGGAGTTTGCATATTTTCTTTCAACTCTACAAAAACATGTATTATATGTTTATGTAGGTCTCAATTACCCATAAGTATCCTGATTTATATATGGATGTGTGTCCTTTGTTTTTGTGTTGGCCATATGATGGCCGTGAGCTGCCCCTATCAGGATAAAGCAGTTACTGAATATGTAGAGAAAGATAAATGTGTTCAGCTATAGTGGACAGAGAAAAATGCTCCAGCAATTTCATTTTTCTCTCATATAGGAAACATTCTTGATGTGTGGAAAGATAGGATGCTGAAAATAAAAATACATATTCTGCTCCAAGCTGGAGACTAGATGACATGAAACAGCAAAGATTGTTTGAACCTCTTGACCAAAATATACACTGTGGAATTTTAAATCTATGGTTGAGTGTTTTTCAATCTCTAAAATTATTTCAATAAATAAGGGGACAAAAGGGGCCTCATATGATCAAATGGATTATCAATTTGATTTTAATCACAAGATTTCACAAGAATTTCTCAATCAGAGGATGAATGGGAGCTTGTTATTCTGCTTTCAGAGTTAACAAGGCTATACAGTTAACTATATCTCTTTTACCAGATGGACACCTGCTCATTTGGTAAATGTAATGTTACCGTATAAGCTTTTGTAATTGGTATTTAATGTTATTTTCCAAATTATTTTCCAAGTATACCAAAAAAAAAAAAAGATACCAAAAAGCCAACAAAAAATAGAAATGCAGGTAGGAAACAAATTTTGTTCTCAACAAGATTTTTTATAATTTGTATGTAATTTAAAAGAAATTGAGTCTTATGTAAAACATTAAATATTTAAATCAAAACAATAAAAACTTGGAGGGAAAACTGACTAATAAACCATAGTATTTCTGTATTACTAGACAGCAATAAACAGCTAGACAGAAATAATATCTGAACCTTTATCAGGGTCAGTGAGCATACAGCTTGAGTAACTGGGGGCTGTTGTATGATCAAGAGGTTGAATTATGGGTATCAATTATAGTAACTACAAAAAGAGCAGAGTGGTTGCTGAATGATGTATCTTCCAGAGAAATA